GTAACGTCGAAAGACTCCATCACGTATGCGTTATTAGGAGACGCGTTACGTAGACGTTCTAGGAACATTTGGGTGTTTGTGAGGTAAGCTGGAATGTGATTAATCCACTGGGTAATTATCAGACTTAAAAACCAGGTTATTCTATCCGTTGACCCGTCTACACAGCTGATGATCGGTCCAACCTTAAATGATGACGGATTGGTTGACGCATGATCATCAGGTGCGGGACATGTTGGTTTATCGACTCTAAAGTGCGAAATAACCGATGATTTTAAACCCGTAGCCTTTGCCACGCCGACCCATTGATTGTTTAGCTTTCGGTATTGACTTTTATATTCCTTTGCAGAAAATGGGCGATAGAGAGTAGCATAACTAAGATGTTCCTCTGTTATGTCAACATCCAACTGGCGAAGGATAACTGCGAACTCTCCCTCCTTATCACTAACAGACAAACACTTCAGTACCCCACACACTGGGTGCTCCCGTGTATGAAGCCAGGCGGTGAGACGACCAGTGAGAGGCCACGAAATCTTGGGATACGCAAGAGGACGTTGAGAACGGCTCTAACGAACACACGCATGAGACGCCATGCAGATTGTTTCTTACTCCGCACGTAGAACGTCAAAACACTCTCCATAGACGTCGATTTTCACGCCCTTCTTGTAGCCGCTGATTACATCAAATTATATGTGATCGCACTACAAAAAACCAAAATCGGTGAGACCGATATACTCCAACTAAACAACGGAATCCCCGTCATCCGTGGAGAAGAGGTTCCGTCACAAAATGTCGGCTGCGTAGGCTTTGTCGTCGACCCGTCCATTGTCCATCTGGTCGAGTCATACGAAATCGTTTTCCCTCGCATGGCCATTTTATGTTTTCAACTTTCGCATCATAAGAAGATCACTATCATCAACTGCTATCACCGATCGGCGCAGCTGGTGAGTACGAATTAAATGTGTTCTACTATCAGTTAGAGGAAGTCATCTACAATGATAAAGCATAAAGACGAGAGAAAAGTTTAGCTATATACGTCAAGAACATTCTAAATGGAGTGCTATAAAAACGTGACAGGCATAGTAAAGAAGACCCGACCGAAGACTACGAGCTGCAAGGAAATGAAATGCAGTGCCGAATTCGCATAAATTTCTCAAGCCAGCAGATCGGATCGCATCTTTATCACTACCAAGAAGTTGCTCGGAAATAGAAGCAAGCTGAAGCTTTATCCTACTGTAGCACGTTTAACACGGCTAACAATAAATTTCAGCTGCAGAAGAGCCTTGCAGGAAGATTAAAATCGGTACGGTGGAAGAAACTACTGGAAGCAGCAGAGAGAAGAAGCAGTCTGAAAAGATGTCGTCGAGACTGGGTATGAGTGCAATGTTCCGCTGTCAGTCTTGATGAACCAAGATGGGATCATCAAAACATCTCGTCATGATATGGAATTAATAGCAGAGACGTTCTACACCAACCTTTTCATTCCACAATACCCGTCTCGGACCTTAGTCTTCCGCTGGTAAAATACCACCTGGTTTTTTCCCATCGTAGGTTCGGCTTGTGATAGAATGCATGATAGCAGGCACGGCTCCAACAGCCGATAATATCACCGCCGATTTTTTGAGAGCCAGCAGCCACAATTTACATGTACTTCTCGCAAGCCATATCACAGTCTACCTCCAAAAGAAAAATTCCAGACCAGTGGAGAAGATCGCGGCACATGGTCATCCTTCGTAAGAAAGGTAACCGAAGGAATGTTCGCAACTATCGTCCGATATGTTTGTTCAGTGTCCTCTAGAGGCTTTTCATGAAGATTATCCTGTTGCGCATATAAAGGACATTGGTTGAGGCGCAACCAGTAGAGCAAGCAGTATATAGAAAAGGATTTTGCTGCATGGACCACATCCATTCCATCGACTTCTTGCCATACGCATAGGTAAAGGGGTTCAACAGGGCAACACAGTATCGCCAAAGCTGTTCAGTGCCGCACTGCAGTGGATAATGAAGCACTCAACTGGGATGAGAAAGGCCTACGTATTAATGGAATATTCCTATCAAATCTTCTTTTCGCTGACAAAGGCTACGGGTTTAAAATCATCGGTTATTTCGCACTTTAGAGTCGATAAACCAACATGTCCCGCACCTGATGATCATGCGTCAACCAATCCGTCATCATTTAAGGTTGGACCGATCATCAGCTGTGTAGACGGGTCAACGGATAGAATAACCTGGTTTTTAAGTCTGATAATTACCCAGTGGATTAATCACATTCCAGCTTACCTCACAAACACCCAAATGTTCCTAGAACGTCTACGTAACGCGTCTCCTAATAACGCATACGTGATGGAGTCTTTCGACGTTACTGCACTGTACACCAACGTGTCGAATGACTCCGCAATGCAAGCCATCTTCGAACTTCTTGTTGAACATGAAGGAAGAATAAATATGCATGGCTTGTCCATCCAGCAGCTAATAGCTGTGTTAAAGGAGCGCCTAAACAGCTCGATTCTCAGATGGTCTGGGAAATATTTCGTGCAAATAAGGGGATTGGCAATGGGACAGCGACTGGCACCAAGCCTTGCCCCAAGTCTTGCCATTGTAACTGCCACGACCGACTTTCTATTAACCTCGGCATTGATCAAGTAATTTTCTTCGTATTTTTGTTGAGCAAACGCGAGGTGTTATTATTCTTTGTTCACGATTACGCTGACGTTTCGGCGGATTTCGCCTTCCTCAGAGCCGCTTCCTATGAGGTTTCCACTANTCCGTCATCATTTAAGGTTGGACCGATCATCAGCTGTGTAGACGGGTCAACGGATAGAATAACCTGGTTTTTAAGTCTGATAATTACCCAGTGGATTAATCACATTCCAGCTTACCTCACAAACACCCAAATGTTCCTAGAACGTCTACGTAACGCGTCTCCTAATAACGCATACGTGATGGAGTCTTTCGACGTTACTGCACTGTACACCAACGTGTCGAATGACTCCGCAATGCAAGCCATCTTCGAACTTCTTGTTGAACATGAAGGAAGAATAAATATGCATGGCTTGTCCATCCAGCAGCTAATAGCTGTGTTAAAGGAGCGCCTAAACAGCTCGATTCTCAGATGGTCTGGGAAATATTTCGTGCAAATAAGGGGATTGGCAATGGGACAGCGACTGGCACCAAGCCTTGCCCCAAGTCTTGCCATTGTAACTGCCACGACCGACTTTCTATTAACCTCGGCATTGATCAAGTAATTTTCTTCGTATTTTTGTTGAGCAAACGCGAGGTGTTATTATTCTTTGTTCACGATTACGCTGACGTTTCGGCGGATTTCGCCTTCCTCAGAGCCGCTTCCTATGAGGTTTCCACTAAGTATGTCACATAGAGATCAACCGCACAGAAATCACATGGAAGTATAATGAAAGTATCACATGGAAATACGAAGAAAATTTTTTGCCATTGTGTTTATGCCTAAGATAGAAGCCCCTGTTCTCGATCTCCGGCCACTACTCTACTGCAGATATGTAGATGATTGTTTTGTCGTCTTCTCTACGCAGGAGGAGATTGACAAATACTTTGAATTATTGAACGAGCAGTCCGAGTACATTGAGTTCATCCGGGCGAAACCGAGAAAAAACTGGCTTCCGTTTTTGGACGTTCAAGTAAACCTATCAAGTAGCGGTTACCTGACAAAATGCTATTGAAAGCCCAGTAACAAGAACATTCTTGTTCATTTCCTTTCTTCCCACCCTTCCCTTCGAATAACCGTCGAAATGAGTTCAACCAGTAACGAGTTTGTAACTATTACATATAAACTTCGCTATACGAACTGTGCAACAGCGAATTTTGTTTGGTTGCACGTCATGGAGACATTTCGGGAAAATAGCGGCGCTCCACAAACATCCACGTTTATTGGAAACTTGGAACGCCTAAAATGGCTAATAAGGAGGTGACGGTTCATTGTAAAATCAGTCATTTTCTTCAGAATGCCTTTTGCTTCTTCTCATCTCGATGCATTGGCAGTTCAAACGAAGAGAGGAGTCCTTGTGCCCTAGGGCAACACCTAGTGGCTTGAAGTGGCTTAAAGTAGTTGCTTTTTCTGTTTTCTTTTCATTGTGGTTTTCTTTGCCTTCCCTACGCTGATAGATTCTAGGTGCTAAGTTAATCACTTCTTGTTTCTAAATCCTTAAGTTCTTTATGACCTTCATTTTGTATAACAGTCAGCGTCGCCATCAATAAAGGAGGTTTCATAGCCGTAGTGATTGGCAGAGCTTAAGAAACCTGCTGCCAACAACGCTTAGAACGGAATGTTTTGCTTCGGATTCGTTAATCGATATGTTCATTGACAGATTTTTTCTCAAAGTGCACTTGTAAGAATGGCGTCTTCCCGATTGTCGATTTATTTATTTATTTGTGGGAATGTCAGGAATTTATGCAGCAACAACAGAAGCGAGATGGTGGGAACCTAATTTAAGCAGCGGCACCTGAGGAATCGGCCCATTCATCGAATTTTGTTAAAGCGGTCGTCTTCACATTCGTCATTGCCAATAAATGCATTTCACCTCATTAACCGATTCCGTGTAATTTTCCATAGCAGAATTCCCGATTTCCCTGATTTGCCAGATTTCCACTTCCCAAAAGTGTCCGAAGGTTTTCGTTTAAAATTCAACGAGATCAGGAATCTCAAAGGCTTTCGAAAAGTCAAGGTGCTGCAAAAATATCTGCCTCGCTGACTTCACCGACTTAAAAGTGCTGAATGGCTAATCCGTTGTTGCTCTTTGAATAATCGTTTCCAGAAGCTAAGAAAATTTTTCTCGCTCGAGTATACGGTATTTGCATAGATTTTAGGGGCCGAAAATGAATAGTGTTGCAAACGTTTCAAAAATTCTGGCCTTTGTCATTTCGTTGCAAGCCATAGTTTCGACAGTGTTGGCATGTGGAGTGATGCCACCCGGTCAAGGTACTGAATAGAAAGTTGTCATTGCAGTAGACTCCTTTTCAGTCTCTAACTTAAACTCGTCAGCGTTAGGCAGACTGAGTAGATCTGGCTCTTCGTCACAATTCAGGAGCTGTTTCAGTACGAATTGTTTCATGAGAATATTCTTAATTTTAAGTCGTACGAGATTAAAGGGAAATGGATCCAAATGAAAATAAGTTCAATAGAACTGTTCAAATTTTAATTATTCTCGGCAAAACTACGAAATCTGTTGCAGCAAGCACTAGGAACTTTAACGTGGCCGGCTTCACCTTGCCTACAGCAATGGTTTTCTCCACCACAGCCAGTGTCCCTGTCCGAGTTCCTGGCATTGCAACTACTATGGCGGGAGCTCAGTCATTTGTGTCACGTATTGTAATGCAAGCGGCGAGTTTACATGTTCTTGCTTTCAAGCTTTTTTTCGCTTCGAGAAAATTCGATAGCGTTTCAGTTTCCACACGGTTCCTCAACATTATACATTTTAATTTGGTTGAAGAAGCATACACATAAATCCTAACATCCAGTGAAGAAGTTTGTGCTTGAGGTCATTGACGTTCTGGAACAGCAAGGTCGTGCTGCTGGCCTCTCTGATGCCATAATCGCAATCATTTTGGATCAGCTCACTGTTCAGATCAACTATACTCCATTAGAGTGCAAGGAAGTATCCGTTAACCCAAATCCAGCAAATAATTGTAAGTTTTTAACTTTTAGCAACCATTCAGCACCGTCAACGTGAAATGCCTAAGGGCATTTAGATTGCCCACAATTTGTTCAATGCTGATTGAAAGTCGTCCAAATTTGGACAGAGATGTGGAAATGAATTAGCTGTAGGAGGAAGGGATTAATGTCATTCGTTTGTAGTAATTTTTTTCAAACTTTCTAAAGAGTAAATGCCTTCAGAACAATGCACACAGTGGTTTGTTCGATTAATATTATTGCTATTAGTGATAATATTATTGCTATTCGCTGTTTTTACTACTGGTAATATCACTAACAGCGCCTTTTGCGCCTTATTATTCTTATTAATGATTAACCTCAGGAGATGGATGGTAGAAAATTAGTGATGATGACCATCAAGAGCACGGTGCTGGCTCCAATACATCCGGGATCGCAAAGCTTTTTTCCTCTCCGAGGTGAAAAACTTGATATTAGACTTCTTCTGACTCAGCCACTCGTTCAAATTCACTCAGGAACGCTGTAGCACAGCTATACCAGGATTCGAGGTAAGAACGGGTCGGCCAGCACTTGACGTTATTTAAGAAAGGGAACAAAAATCGTCAAAGAGCAGTGTAAGCCACACGAAAATCCGAATATCTTCGTGGGCAAATGTGCTACCATCCAAGCAATGTATGATGTCATGTCCTGCCACTAGTAGTGCACTATCCAGACTATCCTGCTTAACGCTTGCATCAGCAACCGTCGTGTTATTCTTTCAAGCAAAATGAAGTGAACAAGGAGAAAAACGAGAAAGATCACCGACGAAAACCAAATTTCGTATTTTATTGACTTTTTAATTGTTGCGAACGTTTGCATTAAAAAAATTACTTGCAGTTGATGCAAGCATGATGATGCCACACTGCATAATCGTCGGCGACACGGTGACTTCTTTATGCGTTCGAGCGGGAAACAACATGTGTAACATAAATATGAACATGAATATCGGAGCCATTCCTCCTCAGCATTTCTCAATTTCTGGAAGCCTCACGGTTTGAATTGCTCCTTTTTCTGAAAAACTTCGTTTCAAAAGAGAGAGAATTGTCTAGACCACAAACATCATCATGGCGAACTGGTCGAGAGAGATGTGGCAGGGTGTGGTCAACAGAGCGGTTCGAATGCTGGCATCGGGTCCATTTGGAGCGAACTTCTTCTCTGCATTTGCGACCGTCAACTGAAACGCCACTGAACTTCAAAGCAATTGGAATAAACTATGCATTTATGTGAAATTCTCCACCTCAACTTCACAAAGATGATGAGCCATTGCACGACAAATCTGTTCAATGAGTAGATTCATGTGAAAAAGAGTTTGCAGTGTGATAGACAGTTAGTGCTGGCCTTATTGGCTCATTGAAAATTCGTGCTTAAAAAGTGGCCGCAGGAAAATTTTCTTGTTTGTAATTGAAAAAAATGCTCACATCTGTGCATGACAATTGGCTAAAGAGGAACTCGTGGAAAGAGAGTATTGGGATAAAATAATTAAAAAATTGGACTAAATAGCTCTATTGTGACATTCCATTAATCGTAATTAATCGTAGACAAGGCCGTTCCTAATTTTTCGCAATTACGAAGATGAAGCCCTGGGTAGGTATTGCAAGGAAGAACGACTTTAGCTCTTAGGGTCAGAGAACGCGACGACAACAACGTTACTCGCGCTCCGCACGTATACTGTAAACTAATGTTAATAATTAATATTTTTTTTATTTCACATGTTTATGAAGTAAGCTGTGACGATCCATCTTTTTGCATTCGATTAGTTTTCCCTCGCCTTCATCCTTCGCAATGGTGTTCGAACATTACGTGTTGCTCTCATGCTCTCACCTTAGTTATCTCTCAACTAAAAGTTGACATACCAACATGTCCCGTGTGGTACATACTTATCAAAACCTATAAGTTAGTACCCAGCGATGATCTTGTGTCTATCGAACCATCGCTATTTAAGGTCAGACCAATCATAAGCTTTGTAGATGGGCCAATGGGTAGGATGACGTGGTTTTTAACAGTCACATTTTGTTAAAACACCTTCCAACCACTTCACGAATACCCAGAAGTTTCTGGACCTTCTACGTAATTCCCTTCCCAACAGCGCTTACGTGATGGAATGAAGCAGCGAGTGAAGGGCTTTCGACGTGACCGCAATTTGTACAAACGTGTCAACTGACTCCGCTATGCAAGGCATCCGCTAGCTCCTTATGCAACACGAATGAACAATAAACATGTATGGCTTTACGATAGAGCAGTTGATGGTACTCTTAAAAAAATTCCTGAGCTGCTTAATCTTCAGGTTGCCCGGGAAGAACTACGCCAAATAAGAGGGTCGCCAATGGAGCAGCGAATGGCACCAAGCCTCTCCATTGCATTTATGTCTAAGGTGGAAGCACCGGTAGCCGATCACGAGCTATTATCCTACTGTGGATAAATAGGTGACTGCTTTGTCATTTGTTCAGCACAAGAAGAAATTGACAGATATTTCGAGCTGTTTAACGAACAGTCAGAGTACAACAAGTTCACCCGAGAGAAACCGAAAAAAAATTGGCTTCCATTTCTAAAGGTGCAAATTCACCA